CTTTCACGTACATAAGTATATATATATGTATGCATGCATGCATGCTTGCAAGTACATGAATCTTTTAAAGATGAAGGTTTAGTAAAAAACTATCCACATGAACATTAATGCAGCGTACTTTATTCAAATTTAGTAATAGCAATAAATAATCAAACCAATACTTAATATATATATATACATATTAACTAGTTTCTTTCCGATGCATTTGCACAGGCACTTTTTATATTCTATAATTTTTATTTTCTTGAACAAATAATGTTATAAAAGAACTTAAAATACTATTTTATAAAATTTAATATACTAATTATAAGACAAATATTAAATTTGATAGGGAGGTAGGAAGAAGGGGGATGGGGTGTTTTTGGCAAAAAAAAAAAAAAAGGTGTTTTGGTAATATTGAGAGGCTATTCTGTTTACTATTAAAACGCTTTCGATTTAAGGTGCATACTTTCAAATTTATTATCCCTAATCTCTAGATGTTATCCCGCTTTAATTGAACATTTGCAAATATTTATTTGTGAGAAGCAATTGTTTTTGGGCCAATAGAAATCAGCAGCAGCATCTGTTCCACCATAAGTGCAGGTCATCTGTGTGACGGATCCAAAAGTGTTGTCAAGTGCTGAAGCTGCCCGCTTGTTGCCGTTGGCCCAAGCTGTGGGCTTGATTACTTAAATTAAAGGACCAATTGTGAAGGGGAAAAAAACTAGATGTCAAGAATGGGATTCGAACCCATGCCCTTTCGGACCAGTACCTGAAACTGGCGCCTTAGACCAACTCGGCCATCTTGACTTTTTGTAACGCTTTTCAAAAATTGGAAAAACAAATTCGCTGTACAAACATCTAGATTCCGAGTCTGTAGTGAAATTATCCTCTTAACATGGCTCAAAAGGAAGCATAAGTCAATTTGAGCTTCACCTAAATAGGTAAAAAATCAACCATTTTCATTGTTTGGGTATTACTAACATCAAAGAACATGTACTCGGTCTCAGGTACATACGTGACAGTTTCTCATACACTTGATTTGTCAAGAAAATAGTACTCAATCTTTGCAATGATGATGTAATGATGATGTAAGCAAATAAAATTGGGGAAATAATACTCAATCCAAACAAACCTATATATGTAGTGTAACTTCCAACTTAAGTAAATGAAGTTGAGTGGTGTTTAGAGGACGAAATAAAATTCATGCCGGCAACCTTTGCATTCAACTTTTCTCTTCTTAATTCAACGGGTAAGTAATTTCGACCATGCTTCATCGTTGCATTATAAACTGTTTTATAGGAACACAGAGAAGATGATCATCGTGGGTCTTAAACGAATGTCTACATGTTACAATGGAATGATCGTGTGGCCGAAAAACGGGTTATGCGCCTACCTAATTGATAGACGTAGATTCATTCTGTCCAACTGTAGTTCACATCTATGCAATTCTACTAGATGCAGCTGTTAATTTTTGGAGCCGCGAATGGACAACCCAACAAAAAAAAACGAGAGTGCGCCTGGCAATCGGGCAAACAAAAGTCAGGATGGAGCCTGGCCTAGTTGCAATCCTCCCTCCCTTCAATGCTTGATTTAGACAAGACTCGGGGGGGATGGGCATTTACACTTGGATTGCAGACAGCTAGTAAAGTCTTGCAACATCTGCTCACCGCCCGCCTGCAGGAGCCAGCAGAGTCGCTGAGATCATCAGCTTGTTTCGATTCTAGCACTGCACTTAACCTGGATACCAGTAGTATTGAACAGAACGAATCACTAGTGTTGGCTAATACATGTTGACTGAATCGGTCGATTCTTTACCAAAAAAAAAAAAGTGAATGTTCAGTTCAAATCTCGATGTGAAAATTGTATTAGCAAATAACCTACCTATAAGTGCTTCTATAAGCGATTTTAGTCCTCGTGAGCAGAATGGAAATTTCAGAAACTTTTGTTTTATCCAAAAAAAGATAATAATGAACAAACTTAACTATCGGTACTGTACTCGATGGACGTACTGCACAATAAAAGAAAAGGATATGCACTGAAGCTGTACGTAACAGGCAATATATGTCAAACTTATATTTATAAATGTGTATCGGCGTTATGCGTATAGAGAGAAACGGATGGATGGATGAGGTGAATTGGGGAAGTGTCGATTGCGAAGCGACAACCTTGGTACTATTCAGTATTCAAGACAGAACCCACCAGCTAAGGTTGGTTGCACCAATCACCATGCATGCATCTACGAACCATATAGGCATGTAGATAGTACTAGTAACTCGTAGCCTGCTGTTGCGACCTGCTGGCCCCCGGGGGACCAATTCTTGAGACAATAATTGCTTGAAATTGCAAAAGCCGGCACTTAATTTGCTGCTAAATTGGTATCATCACTCCGTTGCAGAAGCTGTAATTAAGGAATTTGCCTCGCTAGTCCATAAAAAAGCATGACTTGTCACATTCTCCTTTCAATGTTTTTACCAGAAGCAAAAGCTTGCATGAACAGCAAAACTGGATGCCTCCATCCAACGCTGGTTCTTGCAGACTTTTAAGTAATTGATCAAAATATGGTTCTGTGGGGTCGCAAACAACGTATCCAATTTGGCACAGACCCAAACTTTTGTCATACATAATCCCCCTACCATCAATTAAGCTGATGACTCCTGGTTCAAACAAATTATACTAGTATAGAATGAGCAACAATCATACAAAGCATGTGATGCGGGTTTATTGCCCCTCGGGCGCAGATCGCTGGCTACGGGATAGTCGCATTAGGCCCAGGTCGTGTGGTCGATTCTGGTTCTCCTACCGTCTCGTGTATTCATGGGACGGGGTGCACGGGCGTAGGGAGATTAGTCTGGCAAAAGTTGGGACACTCCTTATGTTGACCAAAAAAAAAGTGATACGGGTTTATTGTAGCATATGAATTTATCTTGTTTGATAACATCATCTTTTGATTTTTCTTTTACCTATAAATCTCATACTTGACGTGCGTAATTTGTCTTTAGCAAAATAAAATTTAAGCCTCGTACTCACTGAAAGAATACTCGACGTGCGTAATTTGTCTGAAAGAATTCTTGTATCAAAATTTTGATGATACTATTTCATTGATCATATTGTCTATGGGTCCTGAAATAAGTTTGTAAACTTTTAAATGAATATTTCAATACCTATACACTTTTTTTTTTTAGTGTAAGTGTAAGTGTAAGGTCTCGAATTTAAAATCTCTTACTTGCACTTCTCCTTTCCGCATCACCCAACCCACTCTTCCCTCTCTCAATACTTATACACTTTGAAAAAATGCTAAAAACATCATGCAAATATACTTAATTTTGTAATGTCCACCTACAAGGAAATATAGGCAACCATTATATTATGCAAGATGTTAATAAAAATATAAGGATTAATCTTCTATATATTAACGATATATACACTTTTTCATGATTAGGTGCATGATATATAATCAAATTAGAAACCAAAATTTTGTATATGTGTTATACATCCAACATCGATAGTGTATATACACTGTCAATGTATATAAGATTAACTCAAAATATAAAGGTTGCATGTTATTCCTTATAAGACGCAGGAAAATGATGAGTGTGTCTGGATAGTTATATTTTAGGGAAAAAAAATTATTCCACTATAAACATATTTTTCAAACACTTTTCAAATTTTTCAATCATTTGTTTAACTTACATACATTAAAATAGAAGAAATGCTATTATTTTTTTAAAATAAATTCAAAATATTCTTCGATAATTGAATGATAAATTCTTTTATTTCGACTGATCATAAAAGCATGTTAAAAGCAAGAATATTAGGATAAGGCAATGACTCTCTTTATCTCTCTTTTTTTTTTTTGGATAAGTAATAGATTTTGGGTTGACTAACCGTCACACCTTACTATCCAATTCATTCTTCCCCTGAAAAAGTATGTGTGCAAATGAATCTACTCAAATTCAACACTCTAATGTTTAAAACTTATTTGATTTTTTTAATGAGTTATTTTATTTAACCTTGGCTCGTTTATTTGTCGAATTGAAGTTGAATGGATTTTTTATCTAGTTTGAATTTAACTTCACTAGTTGGCGAACCAAAGTAGAACGAACTCTTACGAAGTTGAGCTCAGATTCGAGTATGGAGTAATTTGGTTATCTTTCAGCCATATTGATGAGGCATTAACTTAATTATTTATTTATGAAGAGAGAGAGAGAGAGTGGGCGACTTAGGTTCCGTTTGATAAAACTGAATCTGAAATCTGAAATCTGAATACTGAAACAATTAATTTGTTGAATTTTAAACACTGAAAAAAAATTTATGAATGTCTGAATTTTAATGCTAAACCTATTTATATTGTTTGATAAACGTTTATAACTGAATGCTTAATAAGTTAAATTTGACAATTTTGGCCTTATATCTTTTCATCCAAAAAAGAAATAGAACCTATGATTTAATTAGCTAAAAATGTTAGGTATGAAAATGACAATATTTATTTTTAAATCAAATTAATATAAAAGATGAATTATATTATATGAGTAGTATGGAGAATAAGTGAAAGTCATTCAAAAGGGAGAAAAGAGAAATAGAAAATCATTAGATAGAGAATATTAGGTTGTTTAATTATATAAAAATTTTGAACATAATTAAGAAACAATGGTAGATTTGGTAGATAAGATAAGGTAGTTGAAGTAATTCTATTGATTCTTATCAGAATTAAGCATTCAGTTAGGATTCTTGTGCTAAAAAAAATACACACAAGTTCAACACTACTTAACAAGTTCAACAAATGGATTTTCATTTATCAAACACTCAAAACATCTGAATGTCTGAAAAAGTTCAGATTTAACATTTTTTTATGTTATCAAACAGACCCTTAAACTATTGAGGTTGGCGTTTGATGGACACGAAAGACTCGAATGAGAAAACAAAAGATTAGGCCCAATATGAGGCCCAGTTGAAGCAATCGTCGAAAATCGATGCATTCGACTGGATTTAATGAGTGACTAAATCTGGCTTTGTCGTTATCTCTCTCTCTCTCTCTCCGCTTCCTATTCTGGTTTCTCTTCCCCACTTCTTTATTAATCTCCCCTCATTGAATCTTGAAACTTAGAAACCTAACCCTATTCTCTCTCCATTTTGCACAAACTCAGAACCGTCCTAAAACCATTCCTTTTTTCCCCATCTTCTTCACGATTTTTGAGCCTTTTATAACAGCCCATGTTCAGAAGATCATTCCATTACCAGAAACTTTGGTTTCTTTTGATCTGCATTGGACGCGGACGGTTCTGATTTGATCACAGACAAAGACTCGTGATAAAAGAGAGAGAAGATATACAGGGGAAGGTTTCTTTCAATCTCTAAAGGAGTGGGTATTTCCTTAAAACCATTTCATTATTTCTTCCTTTCCTATTTAATATCCTTTTTGTTCCCCTTTATTATCATAAGTTTTACCTCATTTTCTTGAATTTTTTTTATACTTTAGTCCAAGTGGCTTGTTTTATTCCGATTTCTAGGTTCGAATTAGTAATGCAAATTTAAATTTTTACGGGTTTTTCCCCTTTGTTGCTTGTCATTGAGGGCAATGTTATTTGTTAGTTTACTGTGTTTTGTGATGATTCTAGTCAAATTCCACGAAAACGGTTCAGTAATTTTTTGAGATATTCTGGGCACGGTTATACCAGTAGCACATTATAAACGTGTGCTAGAAACAGTATAGACTATGGTCAGTGAACTGTTAGTTTTACTTTTTAATCGTTTGATGTCTTGTTTGAGTTGTGCCTTGATGGAGCATAATATCCTTTTATCACTTCGTTATCATTCTGGCCGGCTATTATGAATTATGTACTTGCATCAACTTTATTCCAGTGTCCTTTGTTTGCTGTAGGTATGTATTCGGCAGATTCTTTTTGTCGATGTTTCTTATGGTATAACGTCCTGGAAATGTACTATGGAGCGTTGATTGAGTGTTTATTTGCGGGTCCCAGTTGTGGAATTATGCTTTTCCCAATCTCATGATTTGAGGGTTAAAGATGGGGCTGTGGTGACTGTTTCATGTGAGATTGACTCCTCTGGAGTCAATAATTGAAGAGGACTGAAAATTCATTAGTTGGTAGAAGTATCAATAAATTGACTTTATTTTGATTTCAGTTAATTCTGCATTTGATTGACAGATAAAAAATGAATTTTTTCCCTAAATTTGTATTGCTTTGTCATGATATCTGTTGAGGTTATTGTTTCAATTACTTTCTGCTATCCATACCAAAATTTACATGCTAAAAAATAGCTTCTAATATGTTTAGAAATTAGAATAATACAACTTCAACTCATTACCTTGAAATCGATTTTTTTTTTGGTATTCATGTTGTCATTTATTGATATACCTATTGTATGTGTAAAAAGTAAAAGAGTACTTTAAATTGGCATCCAAATATGTTTTGTACGCTGTCCATAAGATGGAGTACGCTTCTGCTATTCTCTTTATGAAGGGTTTATCTTTAAATTTGTGGGTATTAGAGAAGTGTACTTTTGGACATAACATGAACTTGGTACATGAGAATTTATAGAATAATTGTACTAGTAGATTGGAGCTTGAGTCTAGTAAATTTGAAGTTGTGGTGAAACGTTTCGATACCTCTTGATCTGAGTGTTGTGATGATTTCTAAATAACTTTTTATCAGCTATACAAGCTAATGCAAATTTTGTGTCTTTTTCTTGCTAGAATTGGAATCCTTAGACCCTAGAGCCATGGGAAACTGGGCTATTTACCATCTCTCAGTAAAATTTGTCAAAAGCATGTAGAACCAGAAATATGTTCATTTAGTTGGTTCAGTTTGGATATTGCGGTTGGTGATATTCAAGCTTGATGAAATCTATGGGTGAATTAACTGAATTGGAGAACAATATTGGGGATAGTAAAATTGGAATAAAACAGGATATCTTCATGCCCCTTCATTTCTTTTCCTTTGTGTGCGTGTGTATTCTGGGTGAGGTGGAGGGGAAGGGTGGGTTGATTTCTGGACAAGATGAGTTGAGAATCGTGCAAGGAACATTGTGATCCTTAGTGAATGAGAAATTTCGGTTTATTGGGGATTCCTAAGCAGCTGATTACTTCATCCACCCTTCCCCTTATGAATTTATTGGAATATTGCCCAAGTCCCTTATTTGTCTGGGAAGTACACAAGGATACGGGTGATTATGTAGGAATTTTCATCCGTTCATAATGCTTTCCGTGAGTGTCATATAGATATCAGATTTCTGGAATTTCTACAGATCTCAATTAGGGACACATGATACATATTAGTTTTAAAATTAATGTTCTTTAAGATTTGTGACTACGGAAGGGTAAAGTTAGAGATGCAGCAGGTATGTAGAGTTCTTTATGTTCGGCCTGTAGGACTTGATACAAAGATTCATGCTAGATACAACTGGGTTTTTGTTCTCTGTATGTGTATCTGAAGTTCTGAACTGTAGAGTTTATGCAGGTACTTTTGTCATAAAATCTGTAACTTCTCAAAAGATTTTGAAAATTAGTCCTCGAAAGGGACTTTTCTTGTCCTTCCTTTCAATTTTCAACCTTCTTCTCCTCGAGAAGTAAACAGAAGAGTGAAAATGAAATTTCAGGTGTTATAGGAATTATATTTGTTGTACTACTTCAATATTGATTTGTCTTGTACATGGATGATTCATTTCATAGAATGTTGCATAATGCTTTGTCCACTTTTTGTAGGTGGATTCCAAACTGAGCAGACCAGGAGGGGATGTGGAGGTAAGCTAGTGTTCCATTGTTAAATTTGAAAACTTAATGGTTTGGCTTCTAAAGTTAGCTTCAATGCATGTGAAGAAAATCTTGGCTTAAAAAACATGCTTACATTTTCGTTAATGGACAATCCCTTGTTTTTTGTTTTTCCTCTTTTGTTATGTGATTAAGGTGCTGGAAATTTATTTGAAATAGTTGTAGCATTAAACATGGATGATTTCTTGAAAGTTTTGATTGCCAATACTTTCTTGACATTGCAGGTACATGCCAGCTGTAGCACAGGGTTGCTATTTATATAAAACTCAGTAGCAGAGTTGGGGAATTGGCTTGAGTGGGAGTGTTTAGTCTTATTCTTGGTTGTCACTCCATCTGAGATTCCTTGCTGCCTGCAAGTGATATCTTTTGTCCTTGAAATGCCTGCCTTTCCTTCCAAGTTTCCTTTCAGGGCCTGTTTCCACATCTGGAAATAAGTTAGGTTTTAAATTCTCTTGGAATTTAGTCTGAATATTACTCTATAAATCAGTAACAATGGCTGTCTAGTGCACAGCGCAAGGGGCTTAAGATGGCTTTCTATTCTGCGGAGGAACAAACAGAGGATTACCTTTTCAAGATCGTCTTAGTTGGTGATTCAGCTGTTGGAAAATCAAACTTGCTTGCTAGATTTGCCAGAGATGAATTTTATCCAAACTCAAAATCAACAATAGGAGTAGAATTCCAGACACAGAAGGTTGAAATTAATGGGAAGGAAGTCAAAGCTCAGATATGGGATACAGCTGGTCAGGAGCGTTTTAGGGCTGTTACATCTGCATATTACAGAGGTGCAGTGGGAGCTCTTCTTGTGTATGACATCAGTAGGCGACAGACATTTGATAGCATTGGCAGATGGCTTAATGAACTTCACAGTAAGCAATACCAGAACTAGTATATAGATAATTACGGTGTATAGTATTCTGATTTGCAGTAGTCGTGCAAAGCATTAGGCAACCATCTGATTTGACATATGCAAATATGAAGGTTTTCGACTTCCCAGGATTGAGATATCTGTTGCCTTGACAAAAATCTTCTTTTTTCCTTGTTCCCTATTCATTGGACTGCAGCCTGTTGTTTTCAGTGACTTTTGGCTGGTATTCCATTTTAATATTTCAGAGAAAGAGTAAGGATCTTTAGGTTGTCTGTTGGTAGTATTAGATCTGCCATGAAAATTGTAGCTACGGTTGATGTTCCTATTATATTGCTCTAGTTGGTATCTTGTCTGGAGTATTGCAATTTCTTTAATCTGAAGAACCAGGCATGCTCATGAATTTGATTGCTTTCAGGTGGAATGATTTTCTGCTTATGTATAAAATCTTAAAACCTATTGACAGTGCATAAAACTGGCTTTTACCAGTCTGCATGATGCTTATGTGCTGATTTAGTTATACAGTGTGAAATGCTTGTTGAATGTTCTTGATGCAGCTTGTTTGTAATTAGTGCTGAGCAATTTTTTCTCCCTAGTTGGTCCGAAGGTTTAATTTGAGTCTTAACCTATTGAACAGCGCACTCTGACATGAATGTTGTTACAATACTTGTTGGGAACAAATCTGATCTCAAAGATGCCAGGGAGGTCAGCACTGCTGAAGGCAAAGCCTTGGCCGAGGCACAGGGCCTTTTTTTCATCGAAACTTCAGCTTTGGATTCATCTAATGTAGCTGCTGCTTTTCAGACGGTGGTTAAAGAGATTTACAACATCTTGAGCCGAAAGGTTATTCAATCTCAAGAGCTCAAGCAAAAGGATCCTAGCTCGATTGGAAATGGAAAGACTGTGGTTCTACAGGCAGATGGGAACCAAGATGCAGATGAGCAAAGTAAAAAAGGTCGGTGCTGTTCATCGTGAGGTTGGGCATTGTAAAGACATTCTTCTCTCTGTGATCTGAATGTCTCAAATCCCTTTTGGCAATTCTGTTGTAGTTCGCTTTCCTGATTGTGAACCAATTCCTTGTTAGTGTTGAAACAGCAGGGAAAGTGTCTTTTGATAGCGTTCAGGGGGCTATAGGTGAAACTGTACCCACAAGAGTGTAAATGACCTGTGAGAGGTTACAAGATTTTGTTTTTGTTCTCCGATTTTTTTGCCTTCTGTCCGGTTTGTTTGAATTTGTATGGTTATATGTACCCTTGTAAAGTATGTTAATTTCATGGATCCTCTCCATGTCATATTCGTTTATAATAGAATCTCTAGTTATACGTAGCAAATCCCAGCTTTACGGTTCGATAATATCTACTCTACTCTACGAAACCAACCAACCAACCAACCAACCATCCATTGGGGTTGGTCCGATGGTCAGCTATGGGAGGAGGATCAAGGGATGGAAGAGCTATTATAGGAGATCGAATCCTAGCCATTGGGAGTCCTATTTTTGATGGTTAGCAAGGGCGTGGAGAGACAATTTTTTTTTACTGTTTTTGGAACTAAGGATCATCTGGAAGTCAATTAAGTTATTGTTTGACTAAATAAAATACTATTAAAAAAATTACGCAAAAAGTTTTCCACTTTTGGCTTAAATAATCCTTAACCTTGTTCCTTTTTTTTGGGTCAGAAGGAAGGCAGGGTCCTTATTAAACAGCTATCATTAAAAATAAAAATAAAAATAAAAATTCCACTTGCTGCGATAACAATTTTTTATTATGAATTTGTCCATACCTTTTGCATGAAAGGTTTCTTTACTCCCCCCTATAAATAAATCGGGTGCAAATGCCTACCACTAGATTAAGTGGAGCTCCGTATATGGACCCATCCGTTCAATGGAGGAATTCTTTTTATTTGCTTATATATATATATATAAATATGTTATGAGAAAAGAAGGAAGATATAGGGTCACCCAGCGTTTTTTTATTTTTATTTTTTTTTCCCTTTTCATTTAACATATAGGACCACACAACATATTATTATTATTGCAGAGCATTTGACAACAAATTGATAACGATTTGAAACCTGCCAACTGGAGAGTGATGGGGATGGACTATGCGTTAAGTGTCAAAGAAGCACTTGCTGGGCTGATACAAAGCACCACATTCTGGTTCTTGCATTTTTTAATCCATTTGTTGGTAGTCGACGTGGCCAACGACAGCTGGCCAGGGTCCCTGCCCTCTATTCCAGGGATTCAGTGGGCCATTCCTTTTATCCATTTTTATTTTATATATATATATATATATACACACACACACACACTTTCACTTTTTGGAGGGGCTTTCAGTACTTTGACTAGAACATCTGGGCCAAATTTGAAAATTTGTAAACTTCATCATCTTCTCCGTCTTTTTCAACCTGCGCTGCCGCCATACTTCCACTAAATATAAACCTGCAGCTGAAATTCGGGCTGGCAGCGAGCTTTCCATTCCAAAGTTTACTGCCACACACACATATAAAAACCTTCTACTATGACTCACTCGTTTTTGTTTGCACTTTTGTCCTTTCACGGGGCAACCATGGTGAAGTAAATTCGGGTGTCGGATGGAGTGGGAAAATACAGATCGGGTTCGAGCGAAGGGAGTAAGGAGTTGCCATTATGGAAGGAAGAGGAGATGGTGAACATCCATGGTTGCACTTGCACCACACTTCAGGGACTTCCCATCCGAATGCAAGGTTTTACCCGCTATGAATCCACCGTGTTGACCGGCCCGTTTCGAGTTTCTTTTCCTCTGTTTCTGCAGTTTTTTTTTTGTGACGAAATGGACGTTGGTGTAAATGAGTAGGGATTTTCCTTGAAATTCTTTCCTTAAGCCTACTTTGGAAGTATAGGAGAGAGAAGATGAAAGGTTATGAGAGAGAAAGGTAAGAACAAGAAGGGAAATAAGTTTCCTCCTATCCTGTTTGGGAATATAGGGGAAAAAAAACTTTCTTTTGTTTGGAAGTTGGAGAGAAATAAGCAGAAAATATTTAAGGGGCCGCTTAGTAATTACCATACTTGTTGTTTGCTAAATAGGAAATGGTGTTGAAAAGTTGGAATAACCTTGTTTGGAAAGGGATTTTCTATCTAAAAATCTCTACGTTTGCTGCGAGCACATTTTCAATCATCTTTTTATCTCATATATATCAAATCGTTACGGTACATTTTCTATAAAAATTCCTGAAAATTGCAATCCAAACGCGGATTGGTGACTCTCAATTCGGAAGTGAATGGGTTGATTTTGTTAATTCCTGTATTTGTTTTCAAGATAATTTTTATTAAACATTTTTTAATCCACTCACATTTTTTACCCTCACCATCTCTCCATTCTTTGCCATTCCATCCCTTCTCACCACTCCTCTCTTTCTCTATGGCATCTTAGAAACTTTTCCCTCGCTGCCATCACTCACCATGGCATCTTATAAACTTCTGCCTTTGCCCTTAGTAGTATCACTCACTAGGGCTGTCAATCGAATCATCTAAGTCGGATTTTAATAGACCTAGATAAGACTCACTTAGTTTGTGGGACATTTGGGTTTCAACTCACGAATTTCAAGCTAATATATATGAAGGTCATACTTGACTCATAATACATTTGGGTTTTGAGCCTAATTCGGGTTCAATTCAAATTCATTTATTACTCCTTAATTTTGTTAATACAATCACTATAACCATTAAGTAGTAAAGTTAATTTAAAATTAACAACATTAAAATTACACACAAACCAGTAAAAGTTCATTAAAAATACATAAATAAAAAAAATTTCAACAATAATTGTCTCTAATTCTTTTAAAATACATGAAAATAATACTAAAAGATGAATAGAATACCAATAATTTGTTTAATGAACTTTAATTGGACCGAGTTTATTAATATTCAAATTCGATTCACATTTTAATCGGATTTTAAATTTAGGTCCAAATTCTGCCTAGCCCAGAATTATAATAGACTTCCTTTTCTTTTGGGCCCAATGAATTAAGTTCGGGCCAGTCTGACCCTATTGACAATCCTACTCCTCAACCTCAAAATCCTAATCCTACACCCCAAATTTCATCCATCACAGCAAGCCCCTGCACCACCTCTTCCCCAAATCCGAATCACTACCCACATCGCTTGAATCTGGTGCCACCCTACTCGAAATTCCCATTGATCTGTTTGCAAGTTATTGACAAGCTCTCAATTTGAATTGTATCAATTGACAAGAAAAGGAAAAGGTGAAATTGTTTCATCATCAGATCTGCTGGTTGGTGGGGATGATTGTTGTTAAAAGCTTCGTAAGATTGAACCCAACAAAGAAAAAGATAGGGAAAAAATGCAATAATAATTTTGATACCTGTTTCACAAAAAATTGTACCAAGCATTAACGATTTCGATGATACCTCTGATTCTTTATAATTCATTCAGTGTTCAATTCCAATTTCAAAGAACGAACCAAGTGACCCCTTAAATTACATATTTTACAGATGTGTCCTTTAACTTCATTGGCCTCGTGGCTTCATCTATTTAAAATGACGAGTGAAAAACCAATCAACCTAATAAGGCTAGGTTAAAAATAGTGGAGTACTGCCTAAGATCTTTTCTCAATCTATCCATTTCTTCCCAATTTTGGGAACAAAACTTTTGTAGGTTTGAAGGGATCCTATTTAGAGTTGTAAACGAGTCGAGTCTGAATCAAGTATCTCATGTTTGAACTATATTTATTAAATTACTCGAATAAGATTCATGGTTGTTCGATAATATTTGAGCTCTAAATACGTGTTTATATATGCAAAATCTTAGTTTGAATTTGAATTCGAACTCGACTCATTTAACATAAATAAGCCATTCACGAGTAGGCTCGAGACGTTCGAATCCAGACTATTTGTCTCACAAAATTGTTATAATCTGCTCGTCTATATTATTAAGAAACAACAGTAGGAATACAATAATACTAACTCTATATTTTGTGAAATGACAATTAGGTCCATCTTTGCGATCGATCGATTTTTTAAATTCGCGAACAAATTCGTATTCGTTCGATTATTTATCGAGCCAAAATGTTTGTTCAAGTTCAGTTCATATCAAATTTCGAACGAGCCGTTATCGAACACAAACGAACATAAACGAGCTAAACTAACCAACAATTTGGTTGATCCTATCCTTAATCCCATCTCATGACTTCTTTTCTTTCTTGCATCAACGCCTAAAAGAGAGATGCTTTGACTTTCTTCCCAAATCCCTTCTTCTCTTTCTATTTCTCTGAATCCAAACGGCACCAATTCTGATGGAACTACTTTCCTTTACTTCGTTGGTGGTTTCTTAGAACCAAACAAGGTCTGACTATCAACGCACCCACTGCTAAGGCCATCTTGAAATTAAAATGGTTGACTTGTTGGCGGAGAATGGTTCTACGCCAAGCCAAAGGGCGGTTGGAAAATGTCTAATTTCGGTTGGCATATTAATACACTCTAAATGACCACAAATTAGGTGTGGTCATCAACCTTCGCATCTGGTGCGTCATTCATGTGCTTTTCTTTGTATTGTATACACATATAATTGTGATTGATGAGTCGTACCTGTTCTATTCTATTCTTTAGATGAGTAGGCAAACAAGCAATCCCCTCTGTCCTTCATGCATATCCCACCTTTACTTCAATTTTATATACTGATCAAAAGTTGGATCAAGGAACTAAATGTCCATATTTCAGTTTTTCCCCTCTGGGCTTGATTGTAGGTTAAAAAATTAATCTTTTTCAAAAACAAAATGTAAAGCACGTATGTGAAAAAAACTGCACATGTAATTCTGTGTGTGTGTGTGTGTGAGATGAGAACATTTCATCTTTAAGAGGTCATCATGTGATGACAGAGTGCCACGCCATCCGTTAAATCTTATGGTTCATCCCTTGCCTGTACATGAAGCAAGCATAGATGGCTAACTTATTATAGATCAACTCCATCAATCTTGATTAAAAATGGGGCCATTAATTACATTCTTATGGATTGAAATACTCCTAATTAATTACAAGATACATGTCGTCATCGACTCTTATTAGCGTTCACATGTCTTAACCCGTTTGGGTTGCAAGTTTTCTGGAATTTCTGGGAAAAAAAAAAGGGTATATATAGTAACGATGTAATAACGTTGGTGAGGTAGCAGAAGAAAAAAATGGGTGGAGAGAAGTCTTTCTTAATAACTCTTGCTTGACTTTCACAAAACTGGGCGCCGCTCGTGTTAGAAAATTGAAGGTGACTGAGCCTCGGTTATCATTCAGGCAATGGCAGATGAAGAAGAAGATTTGTCCACTCAAGCGTTAGTTAAGAGTTAAG